TCAGGAGAACGTGACATTTGGATGCGGGCAGGTGTGCTTCCCGAGCAGCGGTTTTCCTCATCATCATTCAGGGAAATTCCTGGTAATTTTTCTCCCTTAAGACTTCCCACTGCTGATGGAAGAAAGGCACCGCCTCACGTAAAACCACAGTGGCCGTGTCATCTAGGTACCAAATTTGGGGGAATTTTAGGGGCACGGTAAACTTTAGATTTCTTCCCATTAACAGCAGTAATTTAAAGAGTATCACCGAATAAAGTCTGTGGAGTTTAGCCAACGGTAACTTAGCCGCATTAGTGTCCTGGCTGACACGTGTGCACAGTGAGGAGAGAGGCCGACCTGAGGCCGGGCGTGAAGGGTGTGCAGTATTGTCGTGGCAACTTTTTCCTAAATCTAAAATTATTTCAAAATAAAGTTAACATAAAAAATGATCGGCTCCCGTCCCCTTCTGCGAACGGGGCAGAACACGATCCCTTCACAAATATGGTCTCATTTCGTCCAGGCAACAGCCCCAGGAGATGGGCATATTACAGATGACGCCACGCAGCTCTACAACCAGAGGCCGCTAGACAGAGGTGTCCGGGGCTGGCGCGGCTGTGAGTGTGGACGCGGCCAGAATGCGGCCCGCCCCATGTGCACGGGCCAGCCCGGGTTTCCCATGCCCCAGACCAAACACACGCATACAGACGTGCACACCTACTTCTATCTGGCCTGTCGGCCCAGCACTCGGGGTGATCTCCTTTCTTCATAAACCTCCCTGTGTTCCATTCTTCTCCTTAAATCTACTCGCTCACGGGCTGCCTGAGCTGCGCAGGCACCTATGGCCCAAATGTCCTTCAAGGCAGAACTGGCCAGGGATGCCCAGTGCCCACACCGGACACGGCCCGGCCCTCCTTCTTTTCCATGCCTTTCTGCTTCTGAGACTACAAGCCCCCAGTGGGCAAAGCCTAACACTTGAACTAGCTCGCTCACTGCCCCCCCCCCCCAACCTGTGCCCGCCTTCCCTGCTTGTAGAAGAGACGGAAGTTATGACCAAAATGCAAGTCAAAGAACCACAGAATCTTAGGTCTGTCAGAGGAACTCCGTATCCGTTGTTCCAGAAAAGGTATTTGTCACAGTCACCTCAAGAAGCACTCTAGAAACACACACTTCTGGGACGCCTCCTAGTGCTCCGATTCAGGAGGGCGGGATGGGGCCTGGAAATCTGTATTTTTTCAAAACTTCCCCATCCCCAATCCCAGGTGGCCCTGTTGCAGTGCCAGGTCTGGGGTTTCACCCAACAGATAAGCACCTTCTAGAAACAGTCAACCTCTGCTCAAGAAATGCAAGGTGGAGGAGCTCCTTACCTCATAAGGCAGCCTCTCATCGCTAAGTGTTAGCATCAGGAAATCCTTCTTTATATGTAGACACGACGTGCCTCTTAGGAAACTCACTGTTTAGATTCTGTTCTCGGGTTCGACTAAGACGACACTTAACTCCCTGTTTACATGACCAGACTTTTCCCTTTTCACATAAACAGAGCCATCAGATTTTCTAGAATCTTCTCTCTTCTAGGACAAATGCCCATGGCTCCAACAACTTTTTTTTTTTTTTTTAATGAAATGCATTCTCTTATTATTCCATTTAAAAGTGGAATTCTTGGGCCCCAGTGTTCTAAAGTAGCTCTGAGCATTTTTCATGCTCTGGCCGTATCTGGGAGGGAGTCGAGGACAAGTATTCCTGATCTTGGCTGCACACTGGACTCAACCGGAATGCTCTAGGAACTACTGGTGCTTAGGTCCAACCTCTCCGAGATTCTGACATGACTGGTTTGGGGTTCTTCCTGGCTGTCAGGATGCTTTAAAGGTTCCAGGTGATTCTGATGAGCAGTGATGTTGCGAGCCACAGGTACAGGCACGGAGGCCTCTCCGCGTTATTCTGTTCACTCACACTTACACTCATTCACTCAGCCTTTTTGCCTTGAATCCCTGCCAATTCCTCATCAGGCACTTGAGGAAGTGATTAGTGAAACTTAAGCGCAGACTTTTACATTTATTCCTGACAAACGTCATCAATTTGGTTTGGGTCCTTTGTTTCAAGGTCATGTCATGTCCTTGAGCTTCATATTGACTGCTCTGTCTCTAGCTTTGCATCTTTTACATGCTTCTGGTTTTGTCATGTAAAACACGAATAAAATTTTAGATATTTGAACATT